TCATGAGAAGAGTTTACGAAGACTTTCAGGAGTTGGTTTGTACTATTATCTGCCATGCACCAAGTGCAAGAATATTTTTTTTTCCTGGTGCAGGGGAGCAAGATTGTGATGCAGTATGAGATAGTTCACAACTCTTGCTAGATATGCTTCTCGGTTGGTCAGTACCCTTGATGAGAAGTTTTATCGCTTTCTGAGAGGTCTAAGAGACAGTTTGTGGCACTCATTAGTGTCATTTCATATTCATGATTTTTCAGAGCTCGTGGTGAGAGCATAGTTGGTGGAGATTGACTTGAAGTTCACCCAGCAGAGGTGGGATACCACCAGGAAGAGGTTTGGAGGGGAGCGTTCAAGAGTGCAGTTAGTGGGAAGAGGTCCAGGTTGGAAGGCGGTGATTCTAGGAGAGGAGGACCCACCGCATGTATGAGCATAGAAGGAATAGTGTCTGTTAGTAGTGTTTATGTCTGTGAATTTTATCGGAGGCTTATAGGCCAATGTTTTATGTATATAGGGCAGTGTTTCACGTGTGACCAATCTAATCATATGATGGCACAGTGTCCGCAAATGGAACCAAAAAATAGACTTGAGGCTAGAAGTAGCTAGAGGACTAACCAGCTCCTTCCAGGTAGTCAGTGAAGCACTGAAGCTTCTTCGACCTGTAGTGGAGGCAGATTTTGAAGAAGGCAATCTTGAGGGTCAGCAAGAGGACCTCAAAGAGAGACTATTCCAGTGAACAATGCAACTCCAATACAACCAAGAGTTTACAGTTTGACCCAACAAGACAAGAAGGAAGCGCCCGATGTAGTAACAAGTACAACATTTACGTCAATATTGTCTTACCGTATTTTATTCGATTCTAGAGCCAGTCTGACCCATTGGATTCAAATTACATCCCTTAGTCCTAAGGGAACTTGAGGTGAAGGAAATATGAGAAATATTGTTGTTTTCTATGAAGAGGGAGATTGTGGCATCACTGTGTTTATAAGAGCTAAAAAAGAATAAAATAGGAAAAAAATTTGCTTCATAAAATCAAAATAAAAGAAAGAGGAGAAGATATGATAAAAAATACATTTGAATGTGAAACATACAAAATCAAGGAATAGTAATAGCTACAAATAATTAAAATAGTCCCACGATTTTGTGGTCTCATAGTAGGGATCCTATTAATTTATGAGGTGGTAGCATCCAGGGCTAAAATAAGTGTGGACGTCTAACAGGTAGTTTACACAATTTTGCTTGGGAGAAACATTAGAGAGAAAAAAAGAGGAAGAGAAGAAACAAATGAAAATAAAACTAGAGAAAAAAAATGCAACATGATGTTTGCTTCCATTGTCAAAATTGAATATTATTTGTGCTAAAATAGTAATGTATATAGTCAATTATTTTAAATCACTTATTCTTATTTATTATTTAGTTAGTTAAAAATGGTAAAAGGGTCCATTTCTTTAGTTTGGAAATGCTTGTTATTATTTTAACTTTAATAGGGTTAGAACGTCCATGAATTTATGAATATTCTTATAAATAGTATGTCTTATATTGTAATTCAGTTGGTTGATGTTGAATAAAGAGTGCGTATTTTTTTAATATTCTCTTTAGGGGATGAGTTACACCCTCTTGTTCTCAACTTCATAGATAGCGAGACTGATCGAAGCTTTGTCTCTCTTTTACTGTGCCTTTTAGTCCAATTTTCTTATGTCATTTGATCTTCTCTTCTTCTCATAGTTTCTCATGCTTAGTGCACAAAAATCTACCACAATATATTTCCTTTAGAGTAATATCTTGATATGGGAAGTACAATGATGCTAAAAATATTACGATAATTACGATAATATATATGCTAAAAGGTACCTTTTGATAGGAGTTCAATAAGCGAGTTTTGAAATTAATTAATTATTTTTTGTTTATTATTTATCTTTCATTATTCTATTTTTTTATTTATCTTGTAGGATATATGGCTTCTTTGTTATGGTGAGATTGATTGCACTTAGGTTTAAAAAAAAGTAAGTTTTTTTTCTCCTTATTATTTGTACTCATGTGCACATAAATAATTGTTTTAATTGATCTCTTTTTTTAATGTTTGGTTTCTCTATTTTATTTTATTTTTTATCATATTTGCATCTAGTTCCCCTTTCCAATAAAAATTTTGTTGTTTTATAAAAAAATGTGGAGTTTGTAAAATCCTTTAAGTATGATAAAACTAAAATTTTTAAACCTACAGACACCTTTTCTTGTAATAGCTCGAATTATGATATAAACTTCATATTCAAATATGCTCACATTGGAGTCTATGATGGGTGGTGACATCGTAAAAAGTTGTACAAAGAGGACAAAACTACATAGTCAATTCAATCAAAATGGGCAATATCTCAAGTATTTAAATTTCACAAATTTTTTTTTAACTCACAATGCTTCCCCTTCCTCACGCTCTGCCAGGATTTGTTCTTTGGGGGTCGTCGGACTTCTCGGCCTCTTTTGGCCGCTCATGTCCTGGTTCTTCTAGTTTTTCTTCCTTTGTTGTGTCCTTTTTATGGTTTTGTCTGTCATTTTTGCGATCTGTCTTCTATGTCCGTGCTTGGGTTGGCATGGTGGTTAATCGTGTGAAGGATCCTGATTTCCGTGATGGTAAATCTTCTTCGCGGTCTTTTCTTGAGGCGCTTTTTGCTAGTTCATCCTCGCCTACTTTTCCCGACCTTAAAGCCATCACTCATCATGGTTTACGGTCTATTTGGGTTTCTGAGGAGGAGGTGCTCACTTTGGCTGCGTCGTTCGAGTTTTCCTTGGTTGGATTTTTTTTGGATCGCCGGCCTTCCATTGACGCTATTCGTATTTTTTTTTTAATCTCAAATTGAATGGTAGTTCTTCAGTTACTGTGCTTAGTGCTAAGCATGTTTTGATCAAGTTGAGCAATGATTTAAATTACAGCCGGGTATTTTCTCATCGTTCCTATTTTGTGTTTAGCTGCTATATGAAGCTTACAAAATGGTCTCCTTGCTTTGATGTTAACATTGAATCCCCTATTATTCTTATCTGGGTCTGTTTTCCTAATTTGCGCCCTCACTTTTTCTCTTCCCGAATTCTTCATGAATTGGGGTCGTTGTTCGGCAAACCCCTCAAAACGGACTTTGCTACTACTGTTGGTTCCTGTCTGTCTGTGGCGCGTGTGCTTGTGGAGATTGATATTACCAACGTTATCCGGACCCGTATCTGGCTTGGCCTGGATAAGCTTGGTTATGTCCGGTTGGTCGAAATGGAGGAATTCCCCAAATACTGTGGTCATTGTAAGTCTATTGGTCATTCGAATTTGGAATGTGGTGCTCTGCTACCTAAGCATAACAATAAGTTTTAGTTCGTCTCCAATACATATACCACTGTTGTTCAGGGTGGGGATCATGTACCTGTTGAGCAAAAACTGTCGGATTCTGCTGATAATGAGGGTGCTGGGTTGACCTTCATGATGGGGGGTATTCCGTCTGTTTATGTTTCTCCTGTTGTTCCGCCATCCTCTTCTTTAACTCGTCTGGATAATGTTTATGTGGTGGCTCTAATTGTTATCCCAGCCTCTCCGTTGCCCCTATCTACTATGAATTTACCTGTTGATCCTTTGCCTTACCCTTCCTTACTTGTTGCTGATGTTACGAGTAGTCCTAATGTTGCTAGGGTGAATCCGTCATTTGCTGCTGGTAACTTGGTTCCTATCTTGGCTGTTGAACAAAATAGTCAGGTGTTAGCTGACATAGAGTTAGGTGCTTGTGATGTTAATAATAATGGTAATGAATTTTCTAACGACAATTCTTATGCAGATGATGAGGCTAAGTCATGTGTTAGGTCTGGGGATGGTAGCCCTTCTATAGTGGATGTGGTTGTTTCGATTTTGCCAGGCTCCACTCGTACTGTGAATTGTGTGGACATTTCTATTTCTGTTATGCCTAACATCGAATTAAAAGCTCATCTGGATTGGTCATAAAATATATCGATTTTGGTTCAAAATGATTGGCTGGATATGGATGAGGAAATCTCCACTTCTTGTGAGATTGTTGCGGATGATTTGGGTGACAACGTGGATGATGAATTTATTCTCTTTATTGGAGGAAAAAAACATAAAAGTAAATCTAAGAAGAAATAGTTTTTGGGTTGCCATCTTCATTTCTTTTGCCGTGGGTTTTCTTGCGCCGTGGACAATGATGAGGCAGCTCTCTATTTATCACCTTGTTGGTCATGGCTTGTTGGTAACCTTGGTGGTAAGCCTTTGCTTGGTGGTTGCCTTGGCTACTCATCTTCTGTATTTGTCACCAATGGATGGCCCGTGCTTGGCTGCAGGGTCGTTGCGGGGAGCTGCTAACCTGAGTCCGCTATTGGATCTCCTTCTGCATCCTTAACTATCTTTTTCTAGTTTTGCTTTTGATTTATAGTCCTTTATCTGATGTACTTTGATTTCAGATCATCTTGTACTGCTTTCTACTTTTTTGGAATAAAATTTTATTTGGAAAAAAAAGTATTTAAATATCACAATAAAACATTATAAAAGTGGTTTTAGGGCATATTGAACAGAATGTCATTCACCCGTTTGTAGCTCTCGCGAACGTCCAACCTAACAGCAAATGAAAATGCATTTTTATGTTTTATCTTAGCTATAAACAGTGCGATGTCCACAAAAATCCATTTTTTCATTGTTGTATTACAGTAAATAGAGAAACAATATACACAAAATATTCCTTTTTGGTGTTAGAAATGAAATTCGATTGAAGATGAATTACTATTTGATATAATTGTTCCTGTATTTTGAAGTGGAAAATAAGTTTTTCAGTTGGAGATACCCTTAATGAATCTCAAATCTAGCTTACTACTATATTCAAAGCATTTGAACTAATGAAACAACAGTACATTATTTATTTTTCTCTTTTTTATATTGTTTGCTACTTATTTCGCTCAAAGTCAAAATTTTATAACTAAAAAAAAAAACATAATATTAAAGCATGATTAGAAAAAGGGTAATTCACGCTTACGTGTGAGGCAATGAAATAGGCAATGAGGTTGAGGCCAAATCCCCACCAAATCGTTCCAAAGATGTAGCCAGTGACCTTCTGCATTCCTCTCATCAAACAAATACTATGGTACACCTTCGGCAAGAACTGGAAGACGAACACCGATAGCAGAATAGGTATCAAAAGCTCTATCTCATCCTCTTTGATTAACTCTGGCAACACCCATAAGAAGACAATCTGCATGATATAACAGCCTATGATAAGAAAACAAAACGAGAAGGAGGCGCAGAGTTTTAAGCTGTTTGAAGTTAGCGAGGCAACAGCCGATCTACGGTCGGGTCCAAAAATGTCCCGAATCAAAGCCGTACGATATCGGTTAGGCTCCGAATTGGCAGTGTCAGATGCATGTGATTGAAATTGTGATTCTCAATAGTAATATCCAGTGCTTGCCACTTAGCAGCGGATAGCTTCCGCACTGAGCAACCAGCTCCGATGGCCGAAGACCGAAATAAGAATTTGGACTAATTGAGCAGTCGCATGCGTACGTTGTCCTTCCAGCTTTCCATGCCTCCAGTTTTGTCAAAGCAACGTGACCTAAAGAAGACCTTTGGTGGAATATGTTTCACAGGAGGTTAACCGAGCCAAGATAACGAGTCATTCGAGTTTGGCTCAGTAAATATTTTATGTGATGCTTCGATATACTGAATAAAATTTCATCAACTCGATAATAATATTACAAAAATTTCTTACCTAAGAAAAAAAAATTAGATTAACATGAGTCTAATTCATACATCATTTTAAAATAAATTTAAAGGCTCTAAGATCTATCCTGAAAAAAATTTAAGAAAAATATTTTGATCCAATTTTTTTCCTTACCCTTCCAGTTTTATCATTTTCTCTTAAATTCTCTTTTTTTTTTTATCATTTCACGTATTATTATTATTTTACAATAAATGAGTTAGTTCAAATAATTAAAATTGAGCCCAGGCTTAAATTAACTCCTGGTTTCACAAGGTATTTGGACTGAAAAAAAAAAATTACAGAAGAAATTTTCCGTAGTTGGTATGAAACATTATTTATTTATTTTTTCTTCTTTCAATGGCATTTTCTAATTTTAAAATCACTTGCAACATTCAATCATTTTTCTGCTTACTATAAGCGAGCAGCGGCAGACATAATTGGTTCAAATGAGATTGAAGAGCTTGGAACTTAGCTTAATCTTGGCTCCACTTGAACAGGGCAAGGCTTTGGCTAAAACTCAGATTCTTATTGGGCCTAAAAGAGCAAATTAAAACAAGACGTGTTGCCAAACGGCGTTCTTTTTTCCCTAATCAACACTAAAGTATGATTGAATCAAATGGAACATCACAAAATTATCACTTTGTAACAAAAATACCGCTTGCATTATGAAATAATCAGGACTGTCATATCAGATTGTGTCCTAACATATAACTCCTTAATGAAGATAAAAGAAACTGAATCATTTCATTACATATATACTAAGTATTAGTTCTTAATTATAAATGCTAATTAACTGGCAGTATTACAAAATAAAACATAGAATAAATAAATAAATTCTTAAAAAATATATATTTTTTATAAATGTTAAATGGAAGGATGTAGCATACAAAGAAAATCATATAAATCATCTAAAATGCAAAATTGGATCAATATTGCATTAAAAAACACATTTTTCTAGAAAAAAGAAGAAGAAGATAAACTAAAAATACTTGTGCTCCTTGTCAAGTTTCTCAAATGAATCAAAGGGACCTCAAATAAATCATATTGAGTTCAAATATCCTCACTCAAATTGATCATAATCATATAGCCATCAGATTTATTTTGAGAACATTATAAGACATGATCAATCACTAAGAATCTTAAAGCGAATTAGATGACAAAACACTAATCTTGATCAAATTTAGATGATCATAATATACATCTTATATATATACTTTACTAAATTTTATTCCAATAAAATATTGGTTGTAGCTAAACAGTCATTATTAATGTCAATCACATGTCAAGCATGGTGGGATCTGGAACACGAGAAGGGGTACTGTAGTAGCATCGTGAGTGCTTGTATCGTAATTTGTCCCAGCATATATTATTGGTACGGGTATAGCATATATATAAATTATAACGCAACTTATCAGTGATTCTTGAACGGGCTGAGTGACATCTGATAAACATTTTTGTTGATTTAAGCTTATTTAATCATTTTCATGCATTTGATGGTACAATTACCCGAGCACCGGTCTAATCCAGGTGTCATAGATTTCATAGTTTAAAAAGTAGAAAAATTTTACAGAACTGTAGGGATTACAGTAACTGTCTTTCTCGCATTATAATTGATTAGATAATTGATTTTAATACCAAATGACTATGATTCTAATTAAGGCCTTTCAGTAAATAATTTCTCATGGAACTTCTATGGAAGCTTGGATAATATGATGCCTACATCAAGCATAATAAGCTCAAATAGTTTATAAGACTTGTCAATCAGCAAGATTTAGTAGCCAAGGAAGGGATATTATTATATTTTAAGGATGTTATTAAAGACAAATCATAATTAATTTTATATAAAAGATTACTGGGAAACTGATACCATGACTGACGTGACATCAAAATTTCTAATTTAAATGCCTTAGCATTACCACAGAGGTAAATTTAGATTTTTCTGTGTCTTAAACAGATAAATGTTGTACGGGTGACAAATTCAAACATAATATTAAAATAATAAATCTCACAAAATCTTTGAGCTTTCAATAAAAATCATTAAAATAAGGAAATAGTTTTAAATATGAACACTAGATGAATTATATAGCTAAAGATGTCAAAATAGGCAATTGCTTAAAAATTCCTTGCGCTTTCCTCTTTGGTATCATTATTTAGATTTTTTTTTAATTGTTTGTCATTTAAGTTTGGAAATGCCGCCACCCTTCCCTTACTGATACAGTTACTGTGATCTTTAAGATTGAAGACTAACTGGATTTTGCTTGCAGTAGCAGTAATTGAGTAGGTTAATTACCTGAGGAAGCGGAAGAATTACGAAAAGATCAAATGCGAATCCCTTCGCCGACCTGAGGTAATGCGCTGCGATCATCTTAGGATCCCATACGAGCTTGCCGCACCCAACTACCAGCGACTCCCGGGACACGTACGCCATTCGGAGCTGCATCCAGACGTGCCCCAAATGAGCACCGTCCGCACACGTGCGACCTGCCGCCACTGCCGCGGCCAACCCCCGGTTCATCCCCACGCACCCAACCCCGGCCCGACCCGCCCAAAGCGCGTAGAAGAACAACGGGTCTGCGGCTAGCGCCACCGCCCGTGCGATTAGCAAGCACCGGTTCCACCGCTGAACTGCAGGGCTCCGCGGATCAAGAACCGACCCGAAAGCACCCCGAGAGGCTACCGCCGCCTGCGATGGCGGTGGAAGCGAGCTTACGCCGCCGATGGGGATCAAGGAAGACCCGGCACCGGCTCGCCACTGCGGGGCCTGCGAACTGCCACAGCTGGTGGAATGGAACGCCGGGGTTCCGGGCTGCGTGCAGGCGTAGCACTCCACCGGCGTCGGAATTGCGCCTTGATCGTCGCCGACGGCGGCGGCGGCTTTCCGGCGAATCAATCGACGAAACCATCTGCGATGAAATTTTGGGCCACATTGTTAGGGTTTCGGCTTTCTGAGTTGGTGGTTGATGGGAGCTTACCGAGTGTTCGATGTCGGGGGCGAGCGGTGGCGGAAGCTAGGGGCCTCTGGCAGCGGCAATCCCGCCGACGACGGTCCAAAAGACGGGAGGGAAATGTGGAGTTCGCCTGGGGACGGGCTGGTGAGGATAGAGAGATCGGAGAAACTCATGACCTCTTTCACTATATATTTGCTCTGATACGATCGGATTTTCAGAAATAAAGGGTTTTTGCGGGTTCTTATATCGGCAAGGAGGCGCCAGCCTGGCTGGAAGTGCCACGTCACTTTCCAAGTGGAGATGATGACGTGGTACGCAACAAACGCTGAGCTGGCTAAACCCTATTAGTGTAAAAAAACTTTTCATATTTTGGTTAAATTTTTAAGCGATTCAAATAAAATATATTAATTTTATAAAATATTCTCAATCACCAATACATATTATAATTTACATAAAATTGTTTAGAATGCATTATAAAGGCATATTATCAAATGCAATAATATAAATTCATATATAATAATTTCGATTAATTATGGCTAAAATAAGTTTTGATTTGCTTATTTACTTCGTAGGTGGACGAAATTTTGCTAATCATTTATACATTATTAAACAATTTTTTGAATGCTTGAAAAAGGTGCCTTTCAAATACGTATTATTCGCTTATAAATTATTTTTCTTGTCATGAAAGTAATAAAAAAATGTTACAAATAACGATTTAGGGGACGACTTTTAATTTTTGTACTAAAAAAATGTTTTGAGAAATCGTAAAAAAAAAGCAGTCCGAAACTAAGCTTTTAATTGATTACTTGACATCCAAAACTCAACTTGTGTTTTAATTTGACATATTTAACAATTTAATCTTAATTTTATTGTAAACTATTTGGCTTAAAAATATTGAATTATCTTGCTTTGACTAATGAATATAATAATTCAAAAAAATATTTAAATTTTGAGAAATTAAATTAATTCTTTTAGTAATTACATTCAAAATAATAATAATAATCAGATTCATTATTTTAATAATCACTTTCAAAATGTTATTAATCAAATTCATAATATTAAAAAAAAATCAACAAATTTTTTTAAAAAATAGTGATCAATTATAAGACCTTAAAATTTTCATTTTATTTTTTATTTTATTAGCACTTGAATTTATATGCACCATTCAAACAAGAGGACAAAATGAAGTAGTTACCACAGTAAAAATGACCTAGCTTTGCTGCACCCATAAAATAGAGAAATTATTACAGGAGAAATTGGAATGTAACTTATGTCCGAACTCCAATCAAAATCAAGCACGTCAGCCTGTGCACATATTGTATATAATACACATATTGTGTATAAATTGCATGGCCAGAACATTTGATAGGCAAACAGTTGCCCTTCTCAGTTGTCCTTGTCGCTAGAACAAAATTGTCAGGCGTTAAAAAGTGAAGAAAATACTAGCAAGCCAAGGTATGCATGCTGACTCCATCTTAAGATTCTCCCTGCTTCTTTTACAGCATTTTCTCATTTTTTTTAAAAAATCATAATAGATTTCTTTTTTCATAAACCTTAAAAAAAAAATCTCAATATATTCAAATAAAAATTTAGGTTTCGTTTGAGATAACTTTTTTATTATCTTCTAAAATAATTTTATAGTACAAAAATTTTTAGTTTAAAAAATATTTGTACTAAAAAATTGCTTCAAAAAAAAAAAAAGAAAGTTGTTATTAACGAAGCCTTAATCAGAATGAAATTTACATTGAGATTAGTGCTACATATGATATGAGTTAGTTGTACTAATCTCAGCATAAACTTAAGAATATAAAGTCCATTCTAATGTAATTTATGTTAGGATATTTTTGCATAATTTTTTTTCGCTAATGAGTTCCTACGAGAAAAGGTTGGAGTCTCCAATGACAGATAAGATTAGAGAGAGCCATCTTAGATGAATTTTTCGCATAAAGTGTCATCCTTCCAATGACCCATTCAGGAGAGTAGATGCATTAGATCTATTCTATGTTAAGAGAGGTAGAAGTATACCAAAAAATACTTGGTTAAATATGTATGCTAAAATTGTTAAATATGTATGATAAAATATTAATTGAATTTTTAATATTAGAATTGAAGGGAAGCCACAAAGGATTCTTAAGTTTTACATTTGCTTATATTGTGAGCCCTGATTTTGTGTTTATATCTCCTTCTCTTTTCAATTGTAATTGCTAATCAAATTTCCATCTTATTCTTTCTGTTTTTTACATTAACACACATATTTTAACTTCTTTTATGAATGAAAGTCAATCATGTTAGAGACTACTAGAGGAAAAAGTGAAAATTTTGAATCATAAAGAATACATTTTAGAAGATAATCACTTTACTTTGGGAATTCTACATATATTTGATGAACTACAACAAATTTGAGATACCTAGTTGTAATCCATTACCATAATTATGCTGATAGCGGTAAAGAGATGTCGAGGGCAAATCAAATGCTAGTACTAGGCGTCAAATAAGGAATGACAATCCTTACATGCAAAACATATAAGCTTTATTCTGCAAAAGACTAACTTTAAAAACAAACATGAGAGATTCTTGTATAGAATGAGGAATTCAACTGCTCCTGTATTGATATTATTCATGAATAAATAACAATAATATGTTACTGCATACAACACAAACAACTCAATCATAAATTAGAAAAAGCTACAATTACCATATTCAACGTCGCAGAAACTTTGGAAGCATAGGACCGACCACATAAGTTGTACTACCAGTAATCTCTACACGAACAAGCACCTGCACTAAAATGATGAAATCTATTCCGATCCCTCACCACTATCTCCCTCTGATACACCTTTGAAACAAGCTTAAAGTAGGAATGACAATCCTTACACACTCTCAAATTCTTCACTATTCTTAAAGTCGATCCATGTGAAGTCTTCAGAAGCCCAAATGCAAGTGCTAATTTTTCACTATGATACATGAGTGAGCTTTCCTTTTCCTCTTCCTCTAAATCATAAGAAACCATATCAGTCTCAGCAACATAACCAGCCAACTTCAGCTCCCAATTCATACTAGTCACCATTTCATAAATGTCATGCATTCCATCCTTATCAAACTGGCTGGTGACAACAAATTCATACACAGTGCTGTTGATTTCAATGGAACTGCATCCAGGCAGCTTCGCAATCCCTCTTCTGCTCATCATCTCTCTAACCTTTCCAACCGCATTCCATCTCTGATCACGAACCAGCAAATTCGAGAGCAAGACATAATTTTCGCTGTTGTCGGGATCCAAATCAAGAAGCATTTGAACAGCAAGCTTGCCTAATTGGATATTCCCATGAATTCTGCAGGCAGTTAGTAGGGCCCTCCAAATAACAGCATCAGCTCTCAAGCCTTTCATAGGCATTGTTTTGATGAGCTCATGAGCTTCATCCAATAGCCCGGCTCGGCCAAGAAGATCCACCATGGAACCATGGTGCTCTATCTTTGGCTGAAGGCCAAAATCTCTCTCCATGGCAATGAAATACCTTCTGCCATCCTCAACAAACCCTTGATGACAACAAGCACACAAAAGTGCTAAGAAAGTGACACTGTCAGGCTTGAAATTTTCTTTTATCATGGAATCAAACGCCTCAAATGCCATTTCTCCTCTCCCATTCATTGCCAATCCTGATATCAAAGCATTCCAGGAAAACACACTCTTTACTCTCATTTCTCGGAAGACTTTCATGGCTTCCTTCATCTCTCCACATTTCATGTACATGTCAATGAGAGCAGTGCCAACAAACACATTCATTCTTAGTCGATTCTGAACTACATAGTTATGAATCCATATCCCCTGATTAAGAGATCCCAAGTGAGCGCAAGCCGTTAGCGCACCGACTACTGTGACTTCACCTAGCTCATAGCCCAAAGAAATCATCTCACTGAACAACCTGTGTGCTTCTTTGAACTTCCTGTTGTGTACAAGACCGGTGATCATTGCATTCCAAGAAACTGAATTCCGATCAGGCATTTCACCGAAAATGCAGCATGCATCACTAACACGGGACAGTGAAGAATACATGGTGACAAGAGCGGTGGCCGAGAAGACATGTGAAGAGAATCCTAACTTGATCAGAGAACCATGAACCGATACGCCAAGGCTCGGGAGGTATAGCTGAGAGATTGACTTGAGGAGAGGAGGGAAGGTGAAGAGGTCAGGAGAAATGCCAAGTTTGGGCATGTGGGTGAAGACCAAGGTGGATTCAAGGTGGCGGTGCGAGTTGGTGTAGGATCTAATGAGAGAATTGAAGAGATTAGTGTCGAGAAGGTGGATGTATTGAGATAAGATTAAGAGGAGGTTGGGTTGGGAAGATGATGAGAGCGAGAGGTCTATGAGTTTTCGGAAGGAGATCGGGGTGAGCTGTGAGTTGGTGACTACAGATTCGGAGAGGACTGAGATCATTTTTGGTTCAGTGGAGAGAGGGTTTTAAACATTTAGAAATGACGCCGTGTTGATTTGTTTTCGACGGTTGAACTGTTGAAGGAATTTAAGGATGTTCAGGGTTTTCCACCGGCAAATAATAAGTGTTTGCCGTTCTTCCTTCACCAACCTAGGGCCATTATTTACGGCATTTGAGGGGTGTGATGTTAATATTGATGTTGCACTCTTCATCTGTATTTATTTTTTTTAATTCAAAAATTAATTATTAATTTTAAAGATTCAAGTTTAGAATTTTTTTATTACTAATTAAAATAATAAATTAGAAATATCTTATTTGTTTAGAAATCTAAATATTTTTTACATAATTAATTAATTTAAGTTACAACATCAAGATATAAATCAAGATATTAACTAAATATTTATTTATTCATGACATATTAATATTCCAAATTATTTTATCGAGCAAAAAATATATATATTTTTTAATTATAATAGATTTAATTGAAAAATTCGATAAATAAAATTTATGATTAAAAATATATAAAATGAAATATGGGAAAAAAAATACTAGGAATATTCTGTGAAACCCTTATGTTTGAAAAAAAAAAAATTTTGTGTTGTTAGTACAGGACGAACCGTCTGTACGAATTGAAGAAATGTTGAAAATCTGTATGTTTAGTACGTACGAACTGCAGTACGAACAGAGAAAATATGCATGTTCGTTTGTACGAACCTTGAAGGGTCGGGACGAACCCAGACAGAGAGTTTCGTCCAGGGACGAAAAAATTGAAATTTATTCTCGTCTGGACGATTTGAGTCCAGAGAAGATCGTCCCGGGACGATCTTGCTTAATAAATATCTGAATAGTGTCGTTTTTTAAGAGAGAGAGTCCAGGAGAGAAAATAGTGGAAAGAGGAAGAAAAGTGAATTTTTGGGCGACTTCCATCCGTTTTCGTCCGTCGCTGTAGTTGGGAAAGTTGATCGACTCGAGGTAAGGCATATTCCGCCTTTCTCAATTTTCAGAAACGAGAATTTTGACGACTTTTCTGTCTCGATTTTTGTTCTTCTTAGCGAATTTCTGATATTATTTTGTTCTGACAAAGGTTTTACCACGTAACTTTTGGTATGTTTTTGAGATTATAATTATGCACATTTTGAGTATTTTCTGGAAGATTTTTACCGGATATTTTGAATTCTGCGGCGTTTTAATTGAATTTGTAAGTTATCAGGATGTTGAAAAATGTTATATCAGTACAGTAAAAGTCTTATAATGTTGTTGTGGATATTCTGTGATAATTTGGTAAATTTCTGGATCTGTAAATTTTATGTAAATTTCGTATACAGCCGTTATGCCGCTGAATTTTCGTACGAACTCTGATTTTTTTGAATTGATTCATTGAATGAATTGAAGTGTTTGTATGCTATCAGAAGGGAGTTATAAGGGGCCAGGATCCTTTGAGATTCTGTTTGTGTCAGGGAAATCTGAAATGAGCTCTGAAATCTGAAAATAAGTTATGTTCCGGAATTCCGAATATCTGTTCTGGTGCTATAAGCACAAAAGGAGACATAAGAGGCCAGAATCCGTTGAGATTCTGTCAGTGTCTGGGAAGGGAGGCATAAGGGGCGAGAATCCGTTGAGATTTTGTCAGTGTCAGGGAATGTGATACGAATGATCTGATATGAATGTGATTTTATCTGATTTCTGATTTCTGTACGATTCTGGTTATTCCGTACGTTTCTGTCTGCTCTGTGATATGAAAGCTTTATGATATTTGTTCTGAACTCTGATTTGAAATGACTTCAGTTTTCTGTATCAGTTGTTTGATTTATGTTGATCAAGTATCTGTTCTATGATTTCTGTACGGCTATTTTCTGATGTATTTTCTGATGTGAATTTCTGACTATTTTGATTGGTGAGTGATGTATTGCTGAGCTGTTAGCTCATCCTTGTTTTCTATGTGGTATTCAGGTTCTGGGAAAGGGAATGAGGTCTTGGACTAGAAGTTCTGTGTCTGATCAGAGATTAGGTATTTTGTACTTTTGATTTTTGTACAGTCATGGCTTATCTGTTTTGTTCTATTTTTTTCTTTCTGTCTGTAAGTCATGTACTGTATTTGTATATGATTATTTTGATGAAGGAAAAGATAGACGAACTGTTCTGTATTTGGATGTTTATAGCAGCTTTGTGTTTTTCTGTCTATTTAATATTTGAAAGAAAGTCTGAAGCAAATTCCAAAACTAGATCATGGATTTCAAGTTTAAGTTGTGTCGCGGCCCGATGCGAGCGGGATTTGTCCCGGTCGGGTTGGGTCGTGACATATTCTTTTATTGGTATTAAAAAATAGAGTTTGGTTGGAGACAAGTTACTACATTTTGATATATTATTGTATTTTAGAATGAAAAATGAGTTTTTAGATTTGAGATGCCCTAAAGATGTTTTCGGGCTGATAAACCCACAATGGGATGTTTCTCGGGAATTTTTATTACATCCGGTGTCCTAACGTAGCTCTACGTTCAGACGCAAGTAAAATAGTGCCACGTGCTCCTACTCTTTATTGTGCGGCCCGACGACCAGACCTAGACACGGACCCGGTATTGCTATGTATTGGCTGATTTGTGCAGACCGGGATATTGCTAGGTATTGCTCGGTATTGCTAGGTATTGGTATAGGTATTGACTGGTATTGCTAGGTATTGATCTTGATAGAGCGGTATTTCTCATTATTGTCAAGCAATACCTAGCAATACCGAGCTATACCTAACAATACTGGGTTCCGGTCCAGGTCAGGTCATCGGGCCACGTTTTTATTACATTCGGTGTCCTGACGTAGCTCTACATTCGGACGCCAGTAAAATGGTGTCACGTGCTCCTACTCTTTACTACGCTGCCCGATGACCCGACTCAGACACGGTATTACTATGTATTGACTGATTTGTGCAAAGCGGGATATTGCTAGGTATTGCTAGGTATTGGTATAGGTATTGACTGGTATTGCTAGGTATTGGTCTTGATAGAGTTGTATTTCTCATTATTGTCAAGCAATACCTAGCAATACCGAGCAATACCTAGCAATACACGAACATAGCAATACTGGGTTCCGGTCCAGGTCAGGCCACGCGGTAAAGAGTAGGAGCACGTGGAGACATGTTATTGACGTCCGAACGTAGAGCTACGTCAGGACACTGGACGTAATAAAAATTCGTTTCTCGGAGGCACGCTTACAGAAGCCTAGTGTTTGTTACTTATGGTATAAATATCTGATTGATAGGTTATATATAGAAATAAAGAGGAGGGGATGGAGTGATGGACATTTCTATTCGTAGGAGAAGGGTCATCATTTTCCTCCCAATTATGCAATATATAATCTTCAATAAAATATGAAAATAACTGTCTTAAAAAAATTTTGTGATTATTCCTACGGAGAAGAGGGTCAACAAAAAGAAAAAAAATTCAAATAAAAATATTTGTCAAGTAAATTATTTTGATTATACAAGAAAATAAAATCATAAATTTAAGTTGAAGAAGAGTCATTAGAATTAAACAACGAAGAATAAATCTCATTAGAAAGAGCCTTAGCAAAAGCTGTTTAAAGAAGCGGAGACGAAGATGGTATACCAACATAAAACCACTGTACAATCATAAGAAGACATAAATTGTTAGCTGTAAAATATAAAATCACTTAAGGGAGCGTTTGATATCGAATTTGGCGTCAGTTTTAAGTAGAATTTAACATAAGTCAAGCCAAACGCTTTTCCACATGAGAGTAAATCGCATGAATTCGCAAATATGGGATTTTCAAATTTACAATATAAATCCCGGTAAATCGATCAGTGTAAATCCTTATCCCATGGTTCCGCGGATTTAACGTGATTTACAGTTGCTCAAAGTTCCTTCCCGCGGATCCCGTGTTGCGAAGCTCGCTCGAACTCCTTATCTAGATGGAAGACACAACTTCGCCCTCATCGCCTGCCCTAATCGGTTCGGTTGCATTCCCGCCGGATCCCCGCAGGTAGCCCCAACCACCGAAAGTTTTTTTTTTCTTATTCGTGTGCTTGACAATACCTAAAATAGCGATAAACTCAGCTCTTGGTACTATGCTGCCAATTGTTTTCATAATTTGAGACTGTAATTTCAAGATATGTAGTATGGAAATATTCACCAGCATATTGATGTAATTTAGTATTACTCAAATTTTATTATCCAATTATTTTAAATCCTGTAATATGTTGTCAAACAGCTTCTCAGGATTTAATATTTATCATATCAAACACTACTTTTCAAGATTTATCAGCCTGATTTACTAAATCCAGATTTACAGAATTTACTAAATCCCACTAAAGTTGAATCCAATCCAATACCAAGCACCCATTTATACAAAACCTAGTGAAGATCTGTATAAAAAAATCAGTAAGATGTGCATAAAAAATTATGAATGAGGATGACAATAAAGAAATGAGAAGAATATCACACCCCAAAATGTAAATAGAAGCGAGCGACGCTAAGGAGACTACAACAAGATAATAGAGTTTAGGTACAATAGCAACACAAAGCAAATAAAGCTAATGGAGAAGTAGGGTTGTGGAGCAAGATGATTGTGTAGGAGAGTCAGGCATGTGGTGAATTTAGGTTAAAGATTAGAGGTGTGGAAGGTTGGTGTAGTAGTAAATGAAGAGGTAGATAGAAAATGAAAGGCTTGATCACAAGGGAGGGGCAGCAGTTGCAGGATGCAAAACTAGATATGGATCCGGATGCAGAAATGAGTGGAGCAGATGCTCCAGTCGGCATCTGCTCCACTCATTTCTGCATCCGGATCACTTTATGTAACTGTCATGGGCATCTTAGTAAATTGCCATCATAACCGTTGGCTTATTTAAACAAATGTAATTTCACAACTTTGAGATCATGAAAATTACTGTTCATCTTCTTCCCTGTTGATCTTTCGCCTCAATGCTTGTTGAACCAGACGACATTCTGGGAACATACAACAAAATAAAACATGATTATTTATATATGAAAATCACTTCATTTTAAATATGTCTTATTATTTTTTTAAATAGTTTTTTAGTATAAAAATTTTTTAAATTAGAAATTTTTACAATAAAAAGTTATTTAAAAAGCAGTAAAAAAATAGTCCCAAATAAAACTTAAATTATTGTCCCCAATAGCAAAAAAAATAACTAGAAAACAAC